ATTAGGGTGTGCTTTTTTCTTTGTGTTTATAACTGTGATGAATATTGAAATGTATTTAACACAGAATTGGGGTCATTCTTTAGAGAAAATCATTAGCCAAATTGTTAGGCGGTTGTCAATATTGATGATTGAACTTGAGTCAGTGTTTATCAAGGGTGTTGGTTACTTCAATATTGTTCTAGTTTTGTCTATGATAATGTTGAACATGAGTTTCATATCTACTTAAACTGTGCTTTTTGCTGAAGACAAATGACTTTTTGTCTTTTTGTTCTATTTTTGACTGGACATTCTTCTATGTCATTACAAAATATTAAAACATCTTTAAGACATCTGCATGACAATCTGTCAGAATGCCTTTCATCACACATGGTTTTATTAAATATCTAATTAGTTCCAGGTATCCAGTTCCCTCAGCAATGCATCAATTATATATCATTAAATAAAAACAAAGCAGTACATTATTTCCAATTATTGCTACATAGTTCATTTACAGTTTGTGTTATACTAAATGAATCATAACATCTGAGACTGTGTTTTGGTCAGTTGCCAACATGTCGCCAGGGTTGTATCAAGACCTGCTCAGAGGCCGATTCCAAGCCTGCAACAAATGTCAGTACAGTCCCCCACTTACTGTTTGAAACTTTTCAACATGTGTATGCAACAGTGATAGATAGAATATAATTTATTCCATTTTGAAATTGTTTGATTAAAATTATGTGTTAAATAATTTTTTCATGTTCTAACCTCTACCTGAATAAACCTACGCTTGAGAGTGTAATAGCTTCCTGTCTTTTTCATGCATCATTGGCCAAGCATTACAAATTTGACATAAAATTGGTAATGCTTAAGGCTGATGTCAAGAAAATGTTTTGATAACTTACCTGGTTTAGAAAGATATTTTGGATGTTGATGCTTCGGCTTTGATTGAAGAAAAAACTGATGTTTTGGCGTTGAAGAGATTAAAATTTGAAAGAGAAAAAATGGCTGTGGAAAAAGAAATTCGGCTTTGAGAAATGGAAGCAGAAAAGAAAGCATTCCAGCTTAAAGAAACTGAAGAAGAAACAGCAGCAAAAGAGAGAAAATTTCGGCTCAAAGAAAATAGAGCTGAGAATGAAAAATTGAGATTGGAAGCTGATAAAGAAATTAGGCTGAAACAACTCGAGTTAAAGAATTGGCCTGAGAATCAGTAGATCATGTTTAGGGGAAAAGCTCAGGAAGTTTATTGTGCCTTCCCTAGGAGACATAAGTTTTGGAGGCTTATGAATTGGTTCCCGAGGCTTATAGACAATACTTTGGGTCTGCAAAGAAACGGGAGCGTTCTACTTTTATCGAGTTTGCAAGGGAGAAGGAAACTTTGTTTGGCAGGTGGTGTACTTCAAAGGAGGTCAATGGTGACTTTGATTGTTTGAGGCAATTGGTGTGGCTGGAGGTTGTTGAGCAGTGTGTGCTGTTCATCCCATTATAGATCTAGTACTAACAAGTGTCTGGTTCTGAGTTTGTAGACAAAATGTCAAGTTCTACTCCAGTTGGTTCTGAAGATATTTCGTTGGAGCAAACTTGTAGATATTGCCGCTAGACAGGGCACATCATTTCTGAGCTCAGTCATTCTTCCCCTAATGCTTTTGTTTGTGAATGTCAGGTCATAGCCTTTTTGTGGTTCCGTTAATGAGGAGTTAGCTGTTGTAGACCAGTCATCAAAGTCTGTTGTTGTGAGAGAGGAGTACTTACCTTTGTTAGTAAAGGCTTTGTGTCATCTAAAGGTGACAGTTCCAATGTTAAACCCATTACTGTTTGAAGGTATACTCTTCAAACTCTGATTTTGGATGGTATTTTGGCACTTTCTGAGGAGTCATCGGTGAAGACTGAGGTTTTGTTAGAGGGTTAATATGGTTGTTGGTAAAGGTTATGGTTGTAGAAACTCTCCCTGTCAAAGGTGTAGACTTGCTCATTGAAATGATTTTGAAGGAGAAACGCAGCAGGATTTAGTGCAGTCAATAGTATGCAGACCTGTGAAGATCATGCCGACCCGTGAAGATCATGCCGACCCGTGAAGATCATGCCGACCCGTGAAGATCATGCCGACCCGTGAAGATCATGCTGACCCGTGAAGACTATGCAGACCCGTGAAGGTCATGCCGACCCGTGAAGATCATGCAGACCCGTGAAGATCATGCAGACCCGTGGAGATCATGCAGACCCGTCAAGATCATGCCGACCCGTGAAGATCATGCCGACCCGTGAAGATCATGCAGACCCGTGAAGATCATGCAGACCCGTGAAGATCATGCCGACCCTTGAAGATCATGCCGACTCGTGAAGATCATGCAGACCCGTGAAGATCATGCCGACCCGTGACGATCATGCAGACCCGTGAAGATCATGCCGACCCGTGAAGATCATGCAGACCCGTCAAGATCATGCAGACCCGTCAAGATCATGCCGACCCGTCAAGATCATGCCGACCCGTCAAGATCATGCTCACCCTTGAAGATCATGCCGACCCGTCAAGATCATGCCGACCCGTGAAGATCATGCAGGCCCGTGAAGATCATGTCGACCCGTGAAGATCATGCGGACCCGTGAAGATCATGCCGACCCGTGAAGATCATGCCGGCCCGTGAAGATCCAAGTAGAAAATAGATATTCAGCCATTTTTGTCGTAAGAGGCAACTAACGGGATCAGGTGGTGAGGTTGGCTGACTTGGTTGATGCATGTCATCGTATCCCATGTGTGTAGATCGATGCTCATGGTGTCAATCAATGGATTTTCTGGTCCATACTCGATTATTTACAAACCGCTATCATATAGCGTGAAACAACAAACAAACACAGATTGCTTTAGGAATAAGACAACTTTTATTTGTTTTTGAGACCCTTCCATAAGGATTAGATCTGTGCCAATCAATGTTCAGCTATTCTAACCACCGGAGCTTGGTGTGTGGCTTTGTGATGTACACGATAATTAACCTTTTCATTCAAACTGTTAGTCACATTCATTCAGATGATAAAATCTATCACCATGAAGTTAAATACTGTCAACACATAGTCGAACATATATAAAGTATTGGGTAGCACTTCATGACCTTTGATTGGTATATAACAAACAAGGAAGTGTGCTGTTCGTTCCAGTTACAAAACAGACTACCTACAGTTCACAAGACACATTTACCTCCAAATCTGATATACCAGTAAATAACGTCTTTTAGGCATTTAGAAGTTGGAGTATTACGTAAGGATAAGATATATGGATGAACAACTTCTTTATTACAATTAGATGCGACTGTCATTCGTTCACCAGACACATTCATATCAAAATCTATATAATAATCTGATATACCAGTAAACACTTTATAGAGTTGAAGCAAAGACACACTTCAAGAGAATTAAACACAAATTGTCATCCACTGGAAGACAGACAGTTGCCAATACTCTCCACCTAAGCGAATCATAAGCCTGCAATTAAGTATGAATTCCAAATATACAAAAAAACGTATATCCAACTTATGTCTCAAATGTCGTACCACAGTATTATTTTTTTAGGAATAAGACTTTCATATGGATTTTGAGACCCATCTGTATAGAATCGATTTGGGCCAAACAATGTCAAACTTCTCTCTCATCATGGCATAACGGCATGACAGACGAGCGCAGAAAGTTTAAACCATATTTTCAATTGAAGGAATTCTTCGGGGATACCGAGGTATATTCCCCAGTTGTCGGGGAATCAGGACATCTCAATATGTCACCTGGCTGATTGTATGCAATTGTCTGTTTGTTTCCATGTTTATTTCGAGGTTAACTCAACACTCGTCATACCCAAGTGGAGTAGATCCAATTATTTTTCTTCCTCTAAATGTTAAAACGACAAAGGCAGACCGAAATTCTGGCGGTTGGTATTGAGAACGACAATATTGATTTGGTTGAACAATATAAGTATCTTGGCACCATTATTGATTCAAAACTGCTGGTCACGGGAGCCTGTGTTTTCAAAATAAATGTCAAATATATAAAATTCTAAATACAGCAAGCAAAATCTCAGGTACCCAATTTCAACACATCGGTGACGTTTATGAGCAGCAAATTATCAAAAAGGCGCTTAAGATACTATTGTTTGTTTGTTGTTTAACGCCGCACTCAGCAATATTCCAGCTATATGACGGCGGTCTGTAAATAATCGAGTCTGGACCAGACAATCCAGTGATTAATATCATGAGCATCGATCCACTCAATTAGGATCGATGACATGCATCAACCAAGTCAGCGAGCCTGACCACCCGATCCCGTGAGTCGCCTCTTACGACAAGCAGAGTCACCTTTTACGGCAAGCATGGGTTGCTGAAGACCTATTCTACCCCAGAATCTTCACAGGCCCTTAAGATACTAAATAACAGCAGTCATGTACTTTATTCCATATATCAAGGACCGGAAATCACTCATGCCAGCCAGTATTAGTCTTTTAAATCTTTTAGTCCTTTATCTATTTAATACTTTCTAACAGTTTGCTGTACACAAATCCTATCCTGCCCCATCCCTTTTATTACAGTTTACTCTTGCTGTGATAGGAATATATATATACTTTAAAATACCATTCCTTGTCGTCACTGTCATAGTCTTCAATCTTTCTCGTGTTCAATTTTCAACATGATTTTACAGATGGTTATATTAGTAAGTGACTTGTTTTCTTATGTAATATTTTCATATCATATGTTTTCTTTTTTCATATTCTAGTGCAATTTGAATTTCCCTTGGGATGATAAAGTATTATCTTATCTCTTATAGCTTAAATGGATAGAATTATCATTAAACCGCCCGCGTTATCAGAAATCAGCGGGCCACTGTAACTTGATAATGCCCTCATATTTCTTGACGACGGGCAATTGTCACGCCCGTTGTTAGGTAACGTCATAGGGTAGGGATAGGTGACGTTACCTTCAATAGTGACGTCATCTGGTTTGTTCTATGACGTTTCCATATTTGTAAAAGTGGGTCAGTGACATTTGTGTTGATTGCAGTAAATGTTTCAAAACCGATATTGTTGCTTCTTTTTATTTGATGATAAATTCCATCCATTTTAGCTATAATAACGGTAACGCTATTTTTACAGGGCATCTCCTTCGTCGGGGCAGTTAATTGAAGACCTCGCTCTTCTGCAAAAGATAATGCCCTGAAAAATAGCGTTACCCTTATATTATCAACTTGGGGGGCACGGGTGGCCTAGTTGTCTATGACGACTAGATTGACAGAGTTGCGTCCCTTGGGCACGCCGAAGTGATAAACGTCTGAGACCTGCATCACTTCGGGCTTTCCTCCTATATTCAGCTGACACGCCGAGATGTAACTGGAATAGTGTTAAAAGCGGCGTTAAACCCAACTTACTCACTCACTCTTATCAACTGGCTAACCTAGCCCTAAATATGGAATAATGAATCTTATTAGCTCAGTGTAGGCTTTCCCTGACAGACATTGAATCTGATCAGACAACACGCAGGACCTTTTGTGACTCCAGTGTGTGACTAGTATGTAGAATGTTATTGTTGAAGTAAGCACCAGACACAAAGATCCACCAACAGCCATCTCCATGAAGGATTCCATCACATGCTCAGCATCAGGTTGGTCCACAAGCAAAGCAACAGCAGTGTACATGGGACCTCCCAGACCAAGAGGGGAGCCTGCACCCCTTTCTTCTACAAGATGATGTTGCCCTATTACCTTCCACTCTGTTGTTCCAAGACTTATGGCAGCAATTATATCGATGAGCGTTTTTACCGTGCGAAGTATGGTGATCTTACGTTGGCTGATGTCACCTGAACGCCTTCTCCAGGTTTTTCTCATTCGAACCTTATTGGCATCAATATGTCCACCCTCAGCTACTTCGAGAGATGTTCTTACTGCAAGCACATACTTTTCTACCACTGCCACTGCTTCCTTCCATTTGTTATAATAATATATTTCACTGAACAACTCAGCAACTAAGCCCACCATTCCGACAATGACTATCACGATATGAGACATCTTCTCCATTGCAGCAGAGATGTGACCATGAGCAACAGTTGTTACTATTTTACAGATGATGAATCCCACTGAAAGTAGTTCCAGAAGACAAATCAAGAGCTTGAACAGTGTTGTATGTGCAGTTATCTGCATAGACATGTCAGCCAAATGGGTCAGGTCTTTGGACATCATGTCAAGCGTTTGGAGGAAAACTTCATTTTGGCGACAATTTCTCTCTTTTTCATTGCGTATTTTCTGTTCCTGCTCCTTCTGCACCTGTTGTAGTATCTCGTCAGTAATTTCTAATAGCTCTTCCTGCTCCTTCTTCATCTTCTGCAGTTGTCGTTTTGTCTCTTCAATTGGTGTTAATGATGTACCCTGCACAGCTTCTTGTTGGTTCAACATCATTGAGGCATCATCTGTCAACAGAATTATACTGTGTACGTGTAAATATGTTAAATGTATTTGAATCAAAATGATAGTATCATTCTTACACTCATGACAGAGCTAATCCTGTTTTCATTGCTAAATAAATACTTAAAAGAAAAAAAGCAACATTACCTGAAAATGCAAAAGGGCGTACTTTCAATATATCAGTTGCTAATTTCCTGATCTTTTTTGCAGCAGCCGATTCTTCATTGGCGTGTATGGCCTTGGTGTTCTTATAGATGGTGTATACATCAACAGGTATGGTGATGGCTGCAAGTGCTGCTCCTCCGATGGCCAAACCCATTGTGCCTGTCTTCAGAACACTTGCAACTGTTCTGCTGACACCGGCCACCAATGTTCGTGAAGCTAATGCAACAGAAGTGGAGGCAATTTTGGCACCAGTAGCCCCAACCTCAGACGTAGCTTTCATACTTAGAAGAAATACTTCTAGGGTCTTGCTTGTTTCAGGATCAGAAATATTACGTAATTTATCCTTGAAATCCTGCTCAATTTGTGCATTCCATTCATTTCGTATTTCCTCCATAATTTGTACAATACAGTCCACTATATTTATGTATTGGTCGGCTGCTGCATAGGCTGCTTTGGTCTTCTTGTTGTTCAGAAGCCTGTCTATTATTGTCGTGACCAGTCCCCCCACCCCGCTTGACACTCCCACCGCAGCGCCTGCTATAGTCAGTCCCAGAGAAGCACCAAAAGTGAATGGAGCTGCAATGATGCCACCAATGGCTAACCCAGAACCAAGTATACCAGATGATGCAAACGTGGTTTTGGCAATTCGACCTTTGCGAACCTCTTTGTCAACTTCATTTGCAAGATCATTCAGTGTTTCCACAACTTCCATCCTCCCTTTCCTTTCCTTAGATATCAATCTTTCTACTTCAGAGGCAAAATCTGTATCTTTTTTCTCGTTAGCCCTATTCTGTAAAATACAGACGAGTTATATAAGCGGTGGGTATAGCGAACGTTTACTCTTTCATGTTAATAATATTGCACTTCTCTTGTCACATTATATCCCTTCTCATTCCTAAATGGTATCCAGTTTATGGAAGGCAAGTGTTTGTTCAACCAGCCGCAAATGGTTACCTGCAGAACCTTGAAGACGTGCATGCAGCTTCAGTTGTGCAAGGAAATGTAATATGAGTGCACACTGATTCATTGGCCAGGATGGCTATTTAGTAGCGTCATGAGTACCACTCCCACTGCACGGAAATAGAGACAAGAAGGTTACAACATAAAGATCTGGGTTGAATATATGGGATATTTATTAATGTTGGGCTAGTGTGTTTCAAGACGGAACACTTTTCGCATGTAGAATATCTAAGTTAAATGATTTCTGTACATACACGTGCGAACAGTTGTTCTCAGAACTATTGCAGTTAGTTGAACTAAGCATGATGCTCCCATGCATGTGCCTTACTGTTTGATGTGATGATAATACTTTCAAAGATTATTTAATTCTATCAACAAGTATCATGATTGTGTTAATCCGGGATAGAAAAGGTCTTCAACAAACCATGCTCACAGTAAAAGGCGACTATGCTTGTCGTAAAAGGCGACTAATGGGATCGGGTGGTCAGGCTCAGGATCGATGCTCATGATATTAATAACTGGATTGTCTGGTCCAGCCTCGATTATTTACGACCGCCATCATATAGCTGGAATATTGCTGAGTGCGGTGTTAAACAACAAACCAACAAACCAATTCAAAGTCACAATGGATCATATTGTAAAACAAGTTTCTGGAAGTCCTCAGAAAACAAATTATTTTCTTGAATCATTAAAATCATTGAAATACTGAGTACTTGAAATACAAGACATATTTACTATCTTGCAGCTACAGCCTTTGGTGTTTATGTGGCAGGATGTATATATTTGGGATTATTTTAAAAGTAGTTTAGTATAAACTTATCCAAAACATAGGTATTTTATTGTATTTATTAAATAAATTAGTTTACTTAGTCCACTAACTCACACCTCAGTAACATAATCTAACATGTGGTGATTGATTCTTTGTGCTAAGGCTACTGCGGTCTCAGCCTAGCTTATTGTTCTCTGCCGGTCAGCTTGGCCTGGCTTTGTATTTCCCGCGTCACATGACCACCTTGGTCATGTACTTCATACCTTTACTATGTGCACCATTTCTAGTCACAACTCTCACTGGGAAAGGACCATTCAGTTTGGGGTGAGTTAAATATATTTATTATCATTGTACTCAGGTTTCTAGTATATATAATGTATTTTAGTACACTCATATTAAGTCATTTATGTTCCATAAGAACAGTATATCATGTATATGTTATAAACATGAATTATCAGTATATTCATGTTAGTGCAATATATATTTAAATATTGTAAGATGTTACCACTGAGGTATATGCATAATGAGTGTACTAGATTTAAGCATGTATTGGTACTATTTTATCATAAAGGTGTAAAATACCAAAACAGTATATTTGTTGATTTTATCATACATATGAAATGCCTAAAAATGTTGATTGTTATACTGCAAGATGATTTTCTCATGCCATGTATACAATGTATGTGATGTTTACCATACCGGTAAGATTCATGTAGTTATATATCATTTATCAGGTCACGTAAGATACTGCATGACCAGTTTTGATGCCATCTGGTGGTTTGGCCTCCGTCCCTTAGACGAGGTGAGGGTTACTTCCCTTAGTTATACGTATATTTATGTCAACACGTCATGGCATAATTGTCTAGACTATTGTAATGTCATATTGCTTTGTAGTGTATTCAGTGATATCATCCTCACTAAGGAGATATCCGCCATAACATGTTTTACCGTACTAAATGTAAAGTAAGCGTTAACATTATATCTTATTGATTGGTATATCAAACACATGTAATAGATATATAATGGCAGTATTCTTTTAATGATCTATTGGTTATGATGTTTGCCTACATTTTGTAAATATTGTGTTTTAGGGTTTCATCTTCTTCATCTTCATCATCATAACCACTGATTGTGGACCATCATTGGAATAAATCCAGTTGTAAAAACAGCATGCTTTTGTGTCTCCATTACCCTGCATAAGCCTCTGCGACAAATGGCATCCCTGGTGGGATTATTCCAGCTGACAAGATGGACACATCAGATAGCCTGACCCCACAGACATAAGAGTTGTGACGTCCTTGAGCCTGCCCACATTCATAATGGCTTCCGTGTATGCTTTATATTTATTTATGTTTTAATTCATAAGTGAAAGTGACACTATTTCTGTGATATAGACGCTGGTGATATACAGAGTACTGTGATATTGACACTCCTGTCATATGAAGACCTATTTTATTCTTCTGTGATATCAAGACTTATATATTGAAGTACCTGTGACTGAATTTGTGATATGTGTTACTGACACATCGTGGCGCCTGGACACAAGAAGAAGATTTACGTGATATCTGACATTTGTGTGAAATAGTTTATTTGTCCAATTACTCTGTGATTATACATTGTTAAACGGTAGCTACCTGTGATAGATAAACATGTAATAATTGTGATTATACATTTACTTGCTGTGATATATACTTTTCTACATTTGTGATATTTAGACTTAGTGTTATATCCTGTGACTGTTGCGCATACTGTGATATCACCATTTGATAATATACTTAGTACGTACATATTTCATTGTGGCCACTTAGCATTTTATATCTTGCGTGTTGTGTTGTGACCGGTCTTAGAAATGTTTACATAGGTATTACATTTTTTTGTACTGGGGTATTACGGTATAAGGTCTTTGCACACCACCCTTGTCTTAACCTATTACTGTCTGCTTTGCTGTCAAACTTTAGTTCTTTGCCTCCAGTCAGTTCAGTTACTAACCATGTGATTATTACTTGTATCACTTGTTGTTGACTGACAATGAAATAACGTTTATACCAACAATATCTAAATAAAAGTTAGATGTATATCATGTCTTAGTACTTTACTTATATCACTAAAACAAACTTAGGCTTATTTATTTAATAAGTTTGCATATACTGGGGAAACTTTAGTTATGTAAGCCCACATTGGTAAGGACGTCCTGCGCGCTGCTACTGCATTGCTATTAACTTTCTTTTTGTTTTGATTGCAGCCATGTAAGTGTGAATCAATTTATTTGCCTTTCATGTTGCATACTGTTTTGAGCGGCCTGCAGTGTTTGTGCTTTGCTTCACCTGCTTAGTACACTGAGTCCTCTTTATTGTTTATACTTTTGTTTTCCCCACTTATTTTCAGGTTAATCACAGCTTACACTCATTTCATTTTGTTTGGTAGTGTGCCCCACTCACCTTTTGAGGGGACACATCATATATTGCTCACTTTGTTATTTCCAGGTTGCAGGTACCTTCTTCATTTCGGTATTCAGTTTATTATCTTGCAGTCTATGTATTATCAGCATGGCTGATCTATCCGAGGAGGAGTTTGAGACAGTCATGGCTTCTCTCCAGAAGCTGGGAGTTGACCCAGATGTAAGATCTGGTGTTGAACTCAAACAGTGGATGGAGAGCCATTCGACTGTCCCAACTCAAGTGAAGACAGAAGAAGTACCATATGCCTCGTTCAGACATAACCCAACAGAACCACTGCAGAGTTTTAAGAGCCTAAGTGTCAGACAGACACCAAGGGTGTCCTCTTTTTCAGGTGATCCTGCAGCCAAGGGGGAAGCTTCTTTTGATATATGGCAGTATGAGGTTGAGCGTTTGTTACAAGATGAAACTCACCCTAGAGAAGATGTCATCCAGGCTATACATCGTTCTCTTCGTGGTAATGCAGCTAGAGTAGTGATGCGACTTGGACCTTCAGCTTCCATTTCCCGAATATTTGAGAAACTTAAGAGTATCTTCAAGCCTAGCGAGGTAGGAGAGACCCTCCTAGCCCAGTTCTACAGTGCAAGACAGGGTCCTTCTGAAGATGTGACTACATGGGGATGTCGACTTGAAGACCTCTTGTATGATGTCAAGAGTCAAGGTTTCTTGAAGGACATGGATGCTAACCAGATGCTCCGTAATGTGTTCTGGATGGGTCTACGTCAAGAACTGAAGGACATTAGCAGCCACAAGTTCGATACCATCGAAGACTTTGACCGTCTCAGGGTAGAGATCCGTCGAATAGAGTATGGACGAGAAGTGAGGATGAAGGAGTTCAAAACTCAACCACAGAAGACCTCGTCAGCAGCTCCAGCTAAGCAAGCCATTGCTACACCTACAGCCGAGAGCTCCGAGATATCAGAGCTGAAGGGGATTCTTTTCAAGCTTTCAGCTAAAATGGATAACTTGGAGCACCGACTTCCTCCAGCACCACCAAGGATATCAGGAGCCATGCAAGGCCTGGACTTTGCACCTCAAGGGGAAGTGGAACACTTACCTCATAGACCACAGCGCAGGGAGGAGCGTTGCTGTTACAACTGTGGACAACCTGGACACCTCCAGATTGGTTGTTTGATCAGGACAGACCACAGACGAGGATATTTAAACCGGAGAGGACCTATGTCAAGGGGCAGACGTTAGGTTCATATAGACAGAGCCCCACTGAAGTTCATCCTCAGCTACCTCCTGGACTCATTGGATCAGCAAGTGAAACATCAGTTACAATCAATGGAATATCATGCAAGGCTCTGCTTGATACTGGATCCACTGTGTCTACTGTTTCTGAGTCATTCCACAAGGAACACCTTTCAGGAACAGAGATCAAGCCCCTGAAGGACTTTATTCATATAGAGTGTGCTGATGGTAAATCCCTTCCGTATAGTGGTTATATTGTTGTAGAAGTAGGTACTTGTGGAATGGAGGCATTGAAGGAACCAAGCATGTGTTTGTGTTTAGTTGTACCTGATAGTGCCTATAATTCTACTGTACCAGTCTTGTTAGGAACAAATTTCCTTTACCCGCTTATGGAAGACTGCAAGACAAGGA